GTGTTACCCTGATAGCACGTAAACGTGTGTTACCCTGTGCTCACGTAAACATGTGTTACCCTGATAGCACGTAAACCTATGTTACCCTGATCTCACGTAAATATGTGTTACCCTAATAGAACGTAAACGTGTGTTACCCTGCGTTCACGAAAACATGTGTTACCCTGTGCTCACGTAAACCTGTGTTACCTGATCTCACGTAAACATGTGTGACCCTGATAGCACGTAAACCTGTTTTACCCTGGCCTGTGCTCACGTAAACCTGTGTTACCCTGATAGCACATAAACGTGTGTTACCCTGGGCTCACGTTAACGTGGGTTACCCCGATAGCACGTAAACGTGTGTTACCCTGTGCTCACGTAAACCTGTGTTACCCTGACAACACGTAAACCTGTGTTACCCTGATAGCACGTAAACCTGTGTTACCCAGGCCTGTGCTCACGTAAACCTGTGTTACCCTGTGCTCACGTAAACCGTGTGTTACCCTGTGCTCACGTAAACGTGTGTTACCATGTGTTCACGTAATCCTGTGTTACCCAGATCTCACGTAAACCTATGTTATCCGGCACTCACATTTACCTTTTTTACCAGTATTTATCATGAACCTGTGTTATCCAATATGTAACCCGCACTTGTGTTACCCAGTATGTCCCATGTAACTGTTTAACCCAATATGTCAAGTGTAACTCGTTCATCCAGCATGTTAACATGTAACTGTTTTACCCATTATGTCCCATGTAACTGTTTTATCCAGTATGTCCCATGTAACTGTTTTATCCAGTATGTCCCATGTAACTGTTTTATCCAGTATGTCCCATGTAACTGTTTTACCCTGAATATCCCATGTAACTGTTTAAACCAATCCGTCAAGTGTAACTCGTTCATCCAGCATGTTAACATGTAACTGTTTTACCCATTATGTCCCATGTAACTGTTTTATCCAGTATGTCCCATGTAACTGTTTTATCCAGTATGTCCCATGTAACTGTTTTACCCTGAATATCCCATGTAACTGTTTAAACCAATCCGTCAAGTGTAACTCGTTCATCCAGCATGTTAACATGTAACTGTTTTACCCATTATGTCTCATGTAACTGTTTTATACAGTATGTTCCACGTAACTGTTTTACCCATTATGTCCCATGTAACTGTTTTATCCAGTATGTCCCACGTAACTATTTTACACAGTATGTCTCATGTAACTGTTTTATCCAGTATGTCCCACGTAACTGTTTTACCCAGTATGTCCCATGTAACTGTTTTATCCAGTATGTCCCATGTAACTGTTTTATCCAGTATGTCCCATGTAACTGTTTTATATAGTATGTCCCATGTAACTGTTTTATCCAGTATGTCCCATGTAACTGTTTTACCCAGAATGTCCCATGTAACTGTTTTATCCAGTATGTCCCATGTAACTGTTTTACCCAGTATGTCCCATGTAACTGTTTTATCCAGTGTGTCCCACGTAACTGTTTTACACAGTATGTCCCATGTAACTGTTTTACCCAGTATGTCCCATGTAACTGTTTTTCCAGTATGTCCCACGTAACTGTTTTACACAGTATGTCCCACGTAACTGTTTTACCCAGTATGTCCCACGTAACTGTTTTACCCAGTATGTCCCATGTAACTGTTTTACCCAGTATGTCCCACGTAACTGTTTTACCCAGTATGTCCCATGTAACTGTTTTACCCAGTATGTCCCACGTAACTGTTTTACCCAGTATGTCCCATGTAACTGTTTTACTCAGTATGTCCCATGTAACTGTTTTATCCAGTATGTCCCACGTAACTGTTTTACACAGTATGTCCCATGTAACTGTTTTATCCAGTATGTCCCACGTAACTGTTTTACCCAGTATGTCCCATGTAACTGTTTTATCCAGTATGTCCCACGTAACTGTTTTTTTACCCAGTATGTCCCACGTAACTGTTTTACTCGTAAGTATGTCCCATGTAACTGTTTTTTTTATCCAGTATGTCCCACGTAACGTAACTGTTTTACCCATTATGTCCCACGTAACTGTTTTATCCAGTATGTCCCATGTAACTGTTTTACCCAGAATGTCCCATGTAACTGTTTTATCCAGTATGTCCCATGTAACTGTTTTACCCAGTATGTCCCATGTAACTGTTTTATCCAGTATGTCCCACGTAACTGTTTTAGCCAGTATGTCCCATGTAACTGTTTTATCCAGTATGTCCCATGTAACTGTTTTACCCAGAATGTCCCATGTAACTGTTTTATCCAGTATGTCCCATGTAACTGTTTTATCCAGTATGTCCCACGTAACTGTTGTACCAGTTTGCCACATGTAACTGTTTTACCCAGTATGCCACATGTAACCGTTTTTACCCGGTATGTCTTATGTAACTATTTTACCCAGTATGCCACATGTAACCGTTTTCAACACTTACATAAAACTTCTCGTGGTGACCACGATGGAAAAACATGAGTTTTTCAGACCCGTATGATGCTTTGACTCATAAAAATACACAGAATGATTAGAATCCATTTTGATTTGATGATGATAATTGCTCATTAGTTACGAGGAAACACCACCGTCAAATCATCTGAAACCTGACAATACAGTTACTATTGATCGAGACGTCAACACACATAAATGTTATGTGTAATGACAAGTTTATTCACAATCTGTATATAGACACAGATGTTTACAGCTGTGGAAATTAGTGTTGGTTACGTCGACGACGAATGGTAATCTTAGATGGGTTAGCGTGTCCCACTTTGTGAATCAGCTTTGAAAATTCTGGAAAATCAATCTCAGGTTTTATACTTAGTAATTTAGTAAATGGGAAAATATGCTGTGGATCCAGTAAATATAAATTCCGTTTTCGGATAAACACATGTACTACTCAAAACAGGTTAAGAACACTCATTGATATGTGGCCACATATCCTGTCATATCTCATGGGTGTCACTACACACAGACTCCCACGTGTGAGTGTTCTATATCACGTGTATTGTACCCGTGAAGATCCGGGTCAGAATTGGTCTTTAGCAACCCATGCTTTTCGAAAGACGCTACTAACGGGATCGGGTGGTCCGATTCGTTGACTCGGTTGACACATGTTCGTACCCCATTTGAGAAGATCGATGCTCATGATGTTGATCACTGGATTGTCTAGACTAGGTTATTTACAGACCGCTGCCATGAAGCTGGAATATTGTCGTTAAACAACAATCAAAATTAAGTTCATTAGTACCACAATAAATTAGACATTTAGTCAAACTAACTTGCTCACTTAAATCAGTTTGATGCATGTCATCGTATGCATGCATGCTCATGATGTCAGTCACAGGATTGTCTGGTGAAGACACGATTATATATAGAGATCATATGATTGAAATAGTGCTGAGGGCGGCGAACAACAAAAAATAAACAATCAAACTTTTACGTGTTTTGAATAGATATACTATTTGGAACAACATCCCGAAATCACATTCCGTCTTTGCCAAATACCCCAGGCCACCTAACTCAAAGACTAAAATATTAAATAGTCGTTCATTTCTGAACAAGGTCATGATGACCTCAATCTTTATCTCGTATCCGGGTAGCTTGATGTGACCTTTTACTTGGGCCAAATGTCGTTACGTCAACTACTCGTAAAAGTGATAGTGATATCTTATCTCTGTGTACGTGCTGCAGTTCGTGAACAAAAACAAAATAGGATAAGTTTTTTAACACGATGATAAAACTGCATTTATTTGCAAGAACAGACGCCTTTGAAAAGCCTATACCACTCAAAGTAGTTAAGGGTCGTCCAATTCTTTCATATTACCATACTTAACCTGACGTGACATGCGAGATAAATTATAACCATATGGTAAACTCGTGTTGTCCTTAAATTCTTTTGAGCAGTATATCTAATGACTTGGCGGTTCGGTATGCGACGTAGTGTTATTGTATGTGGGTGGCGTTAATCAACAACAAACTAACACTTTTCATGAAAACTGTCACAGAAACAAGGGATAATCTACAGCACGTCTTCTATTCTCCCCTGCAGAAACTAGCAGTAGATGAAGACATGCTTATCTTTAGTCATCATAGTTTATTTCAGTGATTCATTCAAATATTTTTCATCAATATTTTGTAATGATTAGCATGTAGCGTTGACGTAAAATGACGTCCCTTTATGACATGACAGAATTGCTTTCGGCCGTGTATAAGTACTATGTCGTAAAAATTATACATATGGCTAAATTATTTCAGTTTCGCCACAATCGTACAAGATGTAATAATAGATATAATCTTGAAATCAATTTTAAATATCCATCTTGTTCCGTCGTTTGGGTATCTTTTTGTTGCAGCGTTCAATCGTTAGGTCACAGAGCTGATTCCCCACGTTGTAACATGCCTATAATACCAGGGACATTGCCAAACCGGCATAAAACAATATTCGCTTGGTGCGATGGGTTAGCCTGTTGCTTCAAAAGGTTTGCTCTCCACGCCAAATACCCGGGTTCGATTCCCGACATGGGTACAATGTGTGAAGCCGATTTCTGGTATCCCACGGCCGTAAAATTGCTGGAGCATTGCTAAAAGCGGCATAAAATCATATTCAACTAACGTCTCCTCTTTCGACATACCCACATGGGTACAATGAGTGAAGCCCATTTCTGGTGTCCCCCGCCGTGATATTGCTGGAATTTTGCTTAAAGCGGCGTAAAACCAAACTCAGTCAGTCAGTCTTACGACATATATTTCGTTTAAAAAACATCAAGTGTTCATGAGATACAAGGTCTTCATGGACGGGCGGTGGGGTAGCCTAGTGGTTAAAGTGCTAGCTCGTCACGCCGAAGACCTGCATTCGATTCCCTGCATGGGTATAATGTGTAGAGCCCTTTTCTGGTGTGCCCCGCCGTGATATTGCTGGAATATTTCTAAAAGCGGCGTAAAACTTCACTGACTCTTTTTGGTAATTTGAGGAAGTCATAAGTCCTCTCTTTGTTGACAAGACACGCACAGAAGCGTAAGAACAAATCGGTTTATTTTCACTGCCATACTTAACACTTTATAACATGACATCGAACACATATCCAAACAGGTTTACCATTCAGAATATAATATCGCATATGAGCACGTAAAACAAACAAAATGGACGGCACTAGCTAAAACTAATTCTTTTTTTCTCATTCGTTGATCAACCAGAACGTATTGCGTCGTAGCATCCGTCCATATATAGTTTTCAAACTGACAAACTCCGAACAGTGCAGGGTCATAATAAGATACAACACCAAGCTCCACACAGTGCGTTGACGAAAACGACGTTCTGATTGACAGCTATAAATGCCCTCATCACAAATTGATTCTTATCAGAAGACAATATGTTTGGAATGAATTCTTGAAAAGTAAATCAACTCACGTATTAAGAATACTCCCTTCAGTATTAACTACACAGCAGCTGACGCCCAAACAAGGGAGGTAACTCAGACTTCTTTAGCACAATATTAACAAACGTGAAATAAATCGTAACAAGATAAAACAAGGTTCACGTTGAACTCTAAATGAAATAAGTTAGACATACGAAAACATTTTTTTCTGTTGTACTGATTACAATGAATACGCCGATAAACCCTGAATGTTAAACTGAACACAGTGCATTTGGTTGCGTAACGTTTCGACTTCGTTCATAACGTCATTTATAAATGTACGTCGGCCAAAACGTTTATGAAAATGGCAGGCGTCCTCAGAACGACCATCTTGAAAGTCTCAACAATTATGTCATGAACATTATGCCATTTAATATAACAGAGTCAATAAAAAGTTATCAAAACAACACGATTATCCACAGCGCCCCAATGGGGCAAGTGTGAAGAGATCTATATTTCAAATGTGAAATTAACAACTGAAATGTACACGATTCTATGCATCATATGACAGAATTCAACAATCATAATACTTCAATATATTTGACATATCAAATCACAATTGACCCTTTCTTACAATCAGCAACAAGATGTATATTTTTTTTTTCAAAACTCAATTGTAATTCTTATTTGACAGAAACAGAGGATAAACTACGAATCGTTGTTAACGAACTACAGAGACATTCGCTTCGAAAGCTTTCAACACAACAGGAATGAATATACCACACGATCAATACAGATGCTGGGGGATAGTCACGTGACACTGCTTAAGTTTCTTTCACACACTGTAGGTAATACCATCATGAGATCACAAGATGTTCAATTTCACAGTTATATATATATATATCCATTTGGCGGCTATTCACAAGCGGAACAATGATCACATATTGCTGTCAATCACTTGTCAAGAGCAAACAATATCGAATGCCAACATATCGATTAAAAGCATCTATTTCATTTATTACTCGTCGATCACCGAGCGCCGGTATTAATATCCTCTTTGGCAGTCGCCATCGCAAAACGCTGGGACGGCGGCTGTATCCATGGCGACCAGAAATGTATTGATTCCGCGACAAGGGAATGATCAATTCGGCTGAAATGGTCTTGAAATGCAATTATATTCAAACGGGCAATTGTGCTTGTGTTCCTAAATGCTTAATCACATCGCTGCTTGCGATCTCACGTTTTTAAAGTTGTGGGGCCCTTGTAGCGTGTCGGGCGTGTCACTTCCGGTGAGAAAACCACGCGGGTTCTCGTGAGAGTCTTGCGAGATTGTCCCAATTTTGAAACGGAAGTGGTCCTCTTTGGAATTGCTCATAATAGTCCTGAATGATTTTTCCAGGCCTTTCTTGCAGTCTACACTACGTTCTTTACGGAGGCCGTGTTTATCTCCCCTTTCAGAGAATAGGCGGTCAATGCGAGGAAAACTAATCTCTGTGTCCTCTCCGGCTGACAACATATTGTCATGTTCGTCAAACGAATATATGTGTTCACTTTGAGCCTTCATGGAAGCTTTCGTCGCGTCAATGGACGTATTTTCACGTATTCGCATTTTAGATGAGTGTAGACTTTTCCCACTGAATTGGCTTGGGTCACTTTTCGATTTCGATGTATTAGTTAGTTTTGTCTTGAACAAAACGTTGGAATCCGACTTGGACGAATGACTCAGAGAAGGTTTAGAGGGATGACGCACTTCCGGTTTTCCGACACTGTTTTGTTCGTGCTTTTCGGTTTTCGTGTTCTCCGTCGATTTCCGTCTAGCCTTAGGAGCCTCTACTCGGGGAAAGGTTTCCTTCTTCAACTGAACACATAACTCCTGTTTCGGTGTGAATTTCAACGGCTTCTTCTGTTCAGTGTTTGTGGTTTCGGGTTCAAACTCGTTGAATGAATACAAATCCATGTAATCTACGCTCTCGTCGTCGCTGTTGAAAGGACTGCCGAACTCTATCGTCGCATCGCTCTCGTTATCGGAAGATTCGACTAACTGTTTGGTTTTCCGCGACTTTTTAGACGGAGTCGATGGCCTCTTTTTCGGTTTGGCTTTTTTGGCTTTTGTGCTATCTTCGGACTTCTTTAAATGCTCGATCATTTTTGGCTCCAGTGTGTTGTAATCTCGGAAGTTCATTAGTTCAACTGGTGACACGTTCTGGTGACAAAAGGTCAGCACGTTGTGTTCTGTTGATTTACACAGCGCTCCAGCTGATATTTTGTGGAGCTGAATCTTGTTCCCGCATATCTTCTTCATGTCGTCCTTGGACATACGGAAGTCGGCCATGGCGTCTCGAACACACACATATCGGTCCAGTCTGAAAATAGAACCCCATTTGTCAAAACAAACCAGAAAAAGTCATATTGGATTCGCAAGAAAAGTATTCTTTTCCGCAACAAGCCAGAAAACAGACAGTTCAGTAATAATGAATATTTATATACGATCTGAGATGGAGATCATCATGTCGAGGATGGTGCGAAGAAGCCGTAACGGCTTCTGTAACTAGTTTCTAAATTTGCAACTGCACGTGCTGTCTTCGTTAGTCAGAAGAAATATGTTTTACCAAATGCTGCAAAAACACAATCACGTTAACACATCTGTTTCAGATACTAGAGCCAATGCTGACATCCGTAATCCTCCTTCATGAGTTGCCTTCCGTACAGCTACTACTACTACTACTACTACTACGACTACGACTACGGCCCGTGAAGATCCGGGTTAGAATTGATCTTTAGTAACCCATGATTGTCGTGAGAGGCGACTAACGGGATCGGGAGGTCAGAATCGCTGACTTGGCTGACACATGTCATCGGATCCCAAACGCGTACATTGATGCTCATGCTGTTGATCACTGGATTGTCTGGTCCAGACTCGATTGTATACAGACCACAGCCTTACAGCTGGAATATTGCTGAGTGCGGCGTAAAACTAAACTCACTCACTCACTACTACTACAACTGCTACATCGACCAAACCCTGAAGATACGGGTCAGAATTGATCTCGAATGCTTGTCGGAAGAGGCGACTAACGGGGTCGGGTGACAAATAGTGGTTTACAGATGTCATCGTATCCAAATTGCGTAGATCGATGCTCATGATGTCAATCACTGGATTGTCTGGTCCAGGCTCGATTATTTACAGACCGCTGCCATAAAGCTGGAATATTGCTGAGTGCGGCGTTTAAAAAACAAACAAACAAACAAACTACTGCTACGTGAGCATGTACTTCTACTTTCGCTGCACTAAAGCACTATTAGTCCATACAAGCTGACACACGCAAACATGTGACTGAACAAAGCTGTGAAAATGTCAAGTCTGACTCACTCTCCTAACGAAACTACCACAAATCAATATTTGTCTCATTCTCTTACACAACATTACCCTAAATTTCTCCAAACACTACAGCTGGTGCTGCTATTTCTGTAGCATAGTTACTCGTGTTTATGCTACAGTTGCATCTACTACATTTTTTATCCTTTGATTATGTCGCTCATTTAACGGCTGTCCATAAACAGTACTGATTGGATCGGATAAACCAATGATCGACATCATGAGCATCTGTCGGGACTTGCAACAACAGTCACCGAGCATCAAGTCAACACCCATAACACTTAGTCTCTGAATATATAATAATTTTGACATAGACAAACAATTATTGTTTATTTGAAAAGGAGACTCAGTGAAACTGGCTATTCCTGAGCCTGACGAAATCTAGACTTGCTTCATTTAGGGCTTTAGAATTGCAGGAAGGTCTGGGCAGTAGGGAAAATAATGCGGTGCAGGCACTGTGAGACAGACTGTGATTTTCAGTCCACGGACCGATTCATAATTTACTTACATAAAGCCGAGGTATAGCTAGAATATTGCTAAATGTGACGTGTCACAAACCAAACAAATAAACTGGTACGATTATTGCCATTTCTATATGAACAACTTCCGCTCGTCCAACTGACCATGGTCCATATATATACTCAAAGAAACGAATAAAAGAACACATGAAATTACAAGCGTTCCTTTACGTATTTCTAGAATTTCACTCACACTGCAATACATACCTTGTGAGTGAGTGAGTGAGTTTGGTTTTACGCCGCTTTAAGCAATATTCCAGCAACATCACGGCGGGGAACACAAGAAATGGAAAGAAAGACATTGTGCCCATGTGGGGAATCGAACCCAGGTTTTCAGCGTGACCAGCTAACGCTTTAACCACTAGGCTACCCCCAGCACCCCCACGGTGTGTACTTGTGAAGAAACCTGGAAAAGAATATAGGAACACTTATACTTTCATGTGTTCCCTTATTCGTTCCTATGAGTATATATGTACCTTCGTCCAAATTTAGCCTACTATTTATGACAGCTGCGTTATAAACAAATACGCTTTCCACATCTACACGCAATTCGTGACAATGGTGCGAAACATGATGATTTAAATGTCTTCATCAGCAGTCAGTGCCAAACGTCATCCGAGAAAAGCTGACAGACAAGCATCACGTATCTGCGTAAACAACGCACCTGTCTGCGCTTTCAAGGTGGAGGTCATAAGTTCGGATCGCTGACGTCATCTCTACGTCAAAGAGGTCATCCGTCTCGTCTTCCGGGTCAGAGGGCACGTCAGCAAAAATATCAAACCCCTTGCCCTGTGCAGCATCTGAAACATGGAGAATCAAGATTATCAGCGGCAGTCGGCCCAACAAAGAATTGCCAATTTCAGACGCGGTGTATATTTAGTACATGATGGTCGAAATAGGTCGTTTGCCTTTCCCTGCGGAGCGGGTTTGCTAATGTTTGAGGGATGTGTTGACTCAGTCGGTCTAGCAAGCGTATCTCGGAGACGGCTACTTCCGTGCCAAGATGCGAGAGGTTTTCGGAGATGAGTATGTCGGTATTTCGCGGCGTGCTATTTACGGTGCATGACAATATCGGTCCCGTTTATCTGCCGACCAGCAGAAGTTGATTCGGTTCAGTGTGAAATGCTGCCATTTCATGCACGGCTGCATTATGCAAACGTGGGAAAGAGTTTTTATCTTGCTGAATATCGTCTACTCGTTCACCTGCGCTCTGTATACATTAACTCTTAGGCTTCAGCTTCCTCGGAAATATGAATGAGATATTCCTCATTTATACCGGCTTAAAGGTCGCTGCATCATTGTTGCAGACCGTCGGCATATAGCTGGAATACAGCTGAGTTCGGCGTAAAACTAAACTTTACTCACTCACTCATTCCACTTACAAGCCAATTATTTTACGCTGCCAATCAAATAAATCTAATTCCTTAAAAGATTTTTTTTCAAAATGATTACGATAAAAATATATTTATAAAATGTTTCTTAAAGATTTGTATCCGCTGTAAATCTACGACAGGACTAATAAATGAAAAAACCTTTTTTTTTTCCCGATGAGCCAGGAGCTACGACGAAAAAGCTATTTCAGTGATCTAAACTTGTCTTCTCCAGCTCACTGGGGCAACTTGACATAACGCAAAGCAATCAATCACAAAAATTGGCAAACAGCCAAATGACGTCACGGCAGCACGTGTGATGGGTTCTTGCCGCTAAAGAAATTGACAAGCTAAAACGGAGACTTTTATTTGACGTTTGGGCATAAACACCTTATGGCTTCGCAACATGACTGGGAAATGGAACGATCGTGCATAAATAACTCACAACTCTGTCATTAGCAAACAGAGGAGCTTCGCAGCAGACATTAATTCCCCAGGGGAATATATATTCTTATTCGTCAGAGATATAATTCATATTAGCATGCTCATTTCGCTTTGATGGCCGACCACAAAACTGATACTTGCAGATGTAATCAAATGACACCAATGTAATTATTCACGTAATCACATCTAGAATCGATTCGGTAAGATCTTGAATATGTTGTATGGTACACTGCCCGGGAAGTGGACGGTTGTGGTCTGATCTTTCAGCCGCGTCGGACTAAATGAGGTTAAATGCTGTCTTTGTTGTTCTCCTTCCTGGTAGTCTGCCTTAGGTGAGTGAGTTAGTAAGGTTTTACGCCGCTTTTAGCAATATTCAAGCAATATCACGGCGGAGGACAACAGAAACGGTCTTTACACATTGTACCTATTGGGGAATCGAACCCGGGTCTTCGGCGTGACGAGTAAAGGCTTTATCCACTAAGCTACCACATCGCCCCAACTCTGCTTTAAGAGGATAAAAAAGGAATGGTTGGCTCGGTGTCTGAGCAGTGTATCTGCCCCTAATATTTGTCTGTGCGGGGCTAGTACTTCATGTACACCACCCACGACCTCGGTGAGTGAGTGAGTATGATTTTATGCCGCCTTTAGCAATAATCCAGCAATATCACGGTGCCGGCATGCCGTTTTCACATTTAACATGAAATTAAAGATTTCTTCAATTGCTTTAAAGATATCCGTATTCAATTTGAAGATATCAATATTGTTTGAAAGCTATCTGTAAATAATTGAAGATATCTTTAATTTCTGATATCCAAATGTCAAGATCAAATTTCGTATTGTGTTTAAATGTGCTTCAAATATGAATAAAACAATTACAATCATAGTGTACATAAGTGTATTAGAAATTAAATCAAGATATCTTCAATTCAGTTCAGGATATCTTGAAATAATTTATTCATATCCACAAACGCATTACACTTATCTTTAAATCATTGAGAGATATATTTAATTCAATTATACATATCTTTAATTTCAATGATAAATATCTTCAGTTCTGGCGGATCCAAATATCTAAAATCAAATTAAAGATATCCGTACTAATTTTGAAAATATCTTTAAATCAGTTATTTATATCTACAGTACAAGTAACAAGAAAGAACGGCAAACATATTTCTATTAAATATTTAATTTATCAAGATATCAAGATATCTCAAATTCAATTCAAGATATCTTCAATTCAAGAGATCTTTAAATGAATTTAAGATACCTATCATTTCTCAACGCATAATCTCTATTGGAGATATCGTTAATTCATTTCAAGATATATCCAATACAATTCAAGATATGAGCAATTCTTGTCAAGATATCAACAATATGCTTCGTCATATCCTTAATTCATTTCGCGATATCATGAATGTTATTGAAGATATCTATTTTATTTCTTTCGAGACATCTTTAAACCATTTCAAGATATCTTCAATTCAATTTAAGATAGCATCAATTCAGTTCAATATCATGTCTCAGTGTTATTAAAGATATCTTTAAAACAATTTAATATACCAGCATTTCTTAATAAATGTGAACATGGCTTGCCATACGTCGCGTTGTCCCCGCAGAGCTGACAATAAATGAGTGCCGGGTGTCTACGATGTCTAACGTCAAACCAGACAACATAGGTCGTTACCAGTCATTGACAACTTACTTCCTTGTTTTTTAATGAACTGTTATAATAAACATTTAAAAATACGGCAGAAAACATCATTCACTCACTCCATGATATTGAATTCCCTGTACCCATGAGGACGCCTACTCGCGTATTTTCGCCAGAATGACGTCACTACATACATAAATGGCATACAGCTATGACGCCTTTTCTGCAACTGTGAACAGCGTTCAGTTCACGCTACCTCACTCGTGAAACACTTAACTCAAAATATCTTTTGTCATTTCATTTCGCTGACTCACGTATGCCTGACGTATCGTTTCGAAATCCTACGTTTAACCTTATCACAGCAGAGAGATGTCATGAGTCATCAAGGCCTACCTGTTTATAAAGTTGTCCTCCTTTCACACATAAACATAACACGGCATTTACTAAGTGCGCGTGGTTGGTAACGCGAGACCGTTGCCGAGCAACATCGGCATCACTTTCTTCCTATCAAATAGGTTTTGTCAGAACTACAAAAACATATTAGCAAACTAAATCTGCATTAAAACGATTGTGATCTGATAAACGTCCCTATTCCGTTGAGGGCGCGTTATAGTCGGGCATTGATGCTGTCTTCACTCGCATTTGTTTGAGTGGCGGTAACGTAGCCTAGTGGTTAAAGCTCTGGTTTCTCAGACAGAGAGAAAGGTTCGGTTCCGTTGCCGTCGTGACACCGCTGTAATGTTTCTACCCGTGGCTAGTAAAGATCCAGTCGGGCCAGTAAATCTCCACAGACACTGGCCCGACTGGCTAGTGAATTTTCATGGGGTGATTAATTAAATATATCACACTTTCCGACTTGTTAAGTTATAATACACTTTTAAATCATGCTAGATTATGGCCTGATAAATAATGGCATGTTACCTTTTTCTAATCTTTTGTTTAATTTCCACATTCAAATTTTGGGCAAGTGAATTCTAAAACTATTTTCACCCACTTATGGTTTTCGACAAGCTCAAAAACGGAATATAACAAAAGGAAATTATACTATTTTTCTTTTTAGTGTGTAATGTGAAGCCCTAAATAGGTTCTTCGAATAGAGAACGGGCTGTGCTACATGTACCAAATAACTTTTATATAGACTGGTTCTCACCTTTGAAATTGCGTTGCGTCACCTTTAAATTGCTTTACAGAACCGATCCTGGAAACCAAAACCGGAACAATAACCGGAACGTGATAATTCGCCTTCCAGTAATTCCGTTAACGAAAGTGTTCAGAGTATAACCCTGATAAGAAATCAATTACGACGTTTGAACAACTACGTCTGAAGATTATCGTTGGACAGATTTGATTCTTTGTTTGTTGTTTAACGCCTTGCTCAGCAATATTCCAGCTACACTGATCACTGGATTGTCTGGTCCAGACTCGATTATTTACAGTCCGCCGTCATAAAGCTGGAATATTGCTAAGTGCGGCATACAATTAAACTCACTCACTCACTTAAAAGAAAACCGTGCCCAAAAGATCGTAAAATATTTCATTCAGAGACTATATCTGTCTTCGTCTTTATAGAATGAAATGGTAAGCTACTTTGAAGTATGAAGTGTCAAAATTAATGTTTAATCGTGTGAAAGCTATGGGCTGGGTTTCACATAAACCCTGCGTGAAAATGACATTTCCTCGTTGTAATGTTCACCTTGTCGTCATGCTTGAGTTGGCGGACAATCCATTCTCCGCTAAAAAGCTAAAGAGGCTTACTGCGCAGGTAGTTCACATGCACTTATCCCTAACACATTACGAAACAGCAAAATTAAAATTTTAACTATTTAGTTTACTCAACATGGATGATATAAATAGTACTTTAAAAATGTGCTTATGAGTAAACAACAAATATATATTTGTCGCACGTGCGGAAAAGCAAAACTTGTTTGTTATAAAATCCAAAATGGCCGCCGCCCTTAAACAGTCGGTTCATTTTCATATTAACAGCGATTATTATAATTGGCAGATCGACAGATAATGTCCTATATGTTAATTAGTCTGGGGTTCTTTGCCTACATTTGACTAGCGGCAGACACGTCAGTAATGACGAAAAACGAACACGTGCTGCGCATGCGTTGCTACAAGCACGAGCAGCACGTGTTGCTCGTCTCGTCTGAGCGTGGCGCAGATGATTGTGGAATGGGAAGGAGACAATAGCACGTGGTATTCCTGGGAGTTTCCCACAGCACGTTAAACTGAGGATTGGTCTCACTATAACAACATCTCCTTTTGTTCTTCGTGCGGTGTTTACAGATACTCCGCTGTGTGAACGGCAACGTTTTGGGTTTGAAATTCGATATTTTAAAATTGAATAATGCATGCGTGTTTTACAAATCGTGCTCATTGATTCTTACGTTAATAGACATGGCTTTAAAATTATCATATATAAAGAGGCCTCACGGATTTCGTGATTGACGTCTTACGGTCTCCAGTGATATAATTGTATACTGAGTAACCTGTCAGACACATTTGACTTCTGAAATGTGGTGTATATAAGTGTTTTGTTCTGGTTGTCTGTTTTTTATTGTGAGTGACGGAATATGTTGTGTATGACTCAACATTAGACACGGTAGTCATTCTGTTTGCATGTATACCGAACATATTGTGAGAATAGGTTTTGTGTAGCGTTGAAAAATAAATATATCCCTATCAAGTGAGTGAGTTTAGTTTTACGCCGCGTTAGCAATATTCCAGCATCATCACGGCGGGGGACAACAGAAATGGGATCCACACATTGTACCCATGTTGGGAATCGAACCCGGGTCTTTGGCGTGACAGGCGAACACTTTAACCACTATGCTACCCCCACCGCCCCTATATCCCTATCAAGATTCCACATTGTCTGTTTATTTCCACCAAGATCAGGGCGTCCCTCAAGGCAGCATCTTGTCTATCACCCTTTTTAGCATCAAAAGTAACAGCCTCACTAACGTCTGTGTTGATGGGTCCCTTTTCGTGGACGATTTCAATATATCATGTCGTGGTAAGAACGTGCACGCAATATAAAGGCAGCTACAACTCTGTCTTAACAAAATCCAAATATGGGCCAATGAAAATGGCTTTAAGTTTTCAAATCCAAAACAATTTGTATTCACTTTTTGTCGTAAATGCAAACTACACAAGGATCCAGACCTATCTTTAGATGGTACTCCCCATCAAGGTAGTAGAAGAGGCCAAATTCCTGGGACTCATATTCGATCGTCACCTGACATTCTTACCACAGATAAAATACAGAGTGGGTGGGGATCAGACTACCCTCCTTCATCTGTACAGATCTTTGGTTCGCTCTAAACTAGACTACGGCTCCATTGTTTATGGTGGAGCCTGCAAAAGCAATTTAGAAAAAAATAGATTCTATCCACCACCAAGGCCTGGGAGGCTCTGCCTGGGAGCTTTTAGGACCTCTCCGGGAGACAGTCTATATGCAGAGGCTAACGAACCTTCCCTTGAACAATGCCGCATTAAACTTTCACTGCAATATATCACTAAATTACGTCCAAAGCAGTCCAATCCAGCATACAATTGTGTTTTCAACCCTCTCTATGAAAACTTGTTTCCTAAACTGCCAAGCCTGGTTCCACCACTTGGAATCAGAATTCAACCACACATATCTGCAGCTAAAATTGATCTCAATATCATAGCACCTTACCGACTCCTGTCTTCACCACCCTGGCAGATGGTGAAACCACAGGTCGATCTTACCCTCACTAAACTCAAAAAGTCCGAAACAAATCCTTTGGTGTTCCAGCAGGAATACAACCAGCTACGTTCCAAGTATGACACCCATAGATCCATTTTCACAGACGGATCCAAGGATGAGGGCCAAGTTGCCAGTGCTACAGTCATAGGATCTAAGACTGTCTCCTCTAGGATTCCCGACAACAGTTCCATTTTCACTGCCGAGGCCAAAGCTATCTTTTCAGCTTTGACCTATATTAAACAGCAGAATCATTCCAAAAACTTCATCGTTTTCACAGATTCATTATCTTGCCTTCAAGCACTTCTAAATGTTACTTCAAGTCACCCAATCATTCTGGACATTTTAGAAATTTACAACGAGCTATGATGGAACAAATCTGAAAGATCTGTTCTCCCGCGTGAGCGCTCATCTGATAGTGAACTACCTGAGGGAAGTTGATCTGTATCATAAATTGTAACTGTGTAATGTGACTAACAAATTGCCTGCCTGTAAATTTAGTGCTATGACTTTTTCTGTTTTACATGACAATGTAATGGATATATTTTTGAAATAAAATTCATTTTGACTCTGTCCTGACAATGTATATTAATGCAGACTTGTTCTCGTCACTATATGGCTGGAATAATGCCGATGTGACGTAAAGTCCAACTCAACTCAACTCAACCCTATATCCCTATCAAAACAGGAGCTGTATATATCATGGTGGGTCAATCCCAAATATTGGTATCCATGAGAGTGAAACCAACAGCTTACTGGTGCAGACAAACCAAGGATAATATTCAGACCCAAACCCGGATTCGAGTGAGTGAGTGAGCGTTTATGGATCTACGCCACTTTGAGCCATATTTCAGCAATATCACGGTGGGGTCACCAGAAATGCGATTCACACATTGTGGATGATCGAACCCGGGTCTTTGGCGTGACGAAGAATTACAACTAGGCTACCCCGCCGCCATCAACATTCGAACGTTTGGTCAGCGTGTCCTGTCATGCCTGCGGTGGAGTAGCCTAGTGGTTAAAGCGTTCGCTCGTCACGCCGAAGGCCCGGGTTCGAATCCCAACATGGGCACAATGTGTGAAGCCCATTTCTGGTGTCCCCCGCCGTGATGTTGCTGGAAGATTGCTAAAAGCGGCGTAAAACCATACCCAGTCAGTCAGTCACGCCTAAGGGACGTAAGCAGGTATACGAGGGCGATATGAACGGGAACAACCCACTCAATCCCTGTCTTCATGATACGATAAAACGCACTTAACAAATTCATCCCATCTTAATATTAAATCGGCTCCAACGCAAACAGTCAGTGGGTATCACTTTCAATTCCGGAAGCCCCATGGCCGTTCCGGTTGTACGAAAAAGATTCAGGTGTCTAGCTGCACCTAAAACACCTGCTTTCATCTTTGCTTCAAACAAGCTCGTGATGGAGATATTACACCAGGAAAAACATGTTGTTTTTTGTAAATATATGTACAGCTTTGTTGACAAATTGGGACTATTCAAGGAAGTCACGTGACTCTAAGCCTGTCACTCATCGCCACCTCTGACGTATGACGAAACATGTAATTCATTGTCACGTTAAACATGCAGAGATCTCATCACGGAAGCAAATGACACCAGCTAACTATGTGGTCCCGCTTCACAAAGCGATCCTACTGATACGGTTATTGTGAGGTCTGAGTTACGGGGGTCGCGGTTACGTGACCGGTTTGAACAGCGGGTCCCAGATCAACAGCGAGATTGCGTGGCTTGCGGTATTCAACTCACCACATGATATGGACGTCCCGGCAAATTCCCATGGCGTTTCTTCGTTCTCAGAGTCAAATCCATTGATGTCTCCAAAGTATCCTGTGATAAAAAGACAATTAGTTAGCAACAACACTTACAGATAACAAACAGAATACGCCTTGAATTAAAAATACATGTTTATCTCGCTGCTTAGCGACGATGATATATGACATGATGGTTCCTATCGACAACTCGCTCGTAAAATTACGACCTGTCGTAACCCTATAGTATAGTATAGGCTTAAGAATGTCGTAGCGCTACGAACGATTTGTGGATCAGGGCCTCCTTTCACAAAGCAATAAGGTGATCATAAGTCACTAACATAACATTAGTGCAATGTTAAAGAATGGGAGTTAAGGTTAACCTTCGTAAAGGTTACTTTGTGAAAGGAGGCCCAGGACCATAGAATATAACATGACATGTTCTTAATAAGCGGATATCTTCTAAATTTTGTGTCACGTTAAAAATAGCTATTAAGGAATACACATGTATACGATGGTTCAATAAAGAATGTTCGAGTTTGGTAAGTGATTGTATCTAGTTATGGTGGTGAGAAGTGTCAATTTCTTTAACTGCCCTGTAATATACCAATAAATATACCAACGGTTGTGAGCAAACATTTAAAATAAGAAGGTGAGCAGTGTCAATTTCATCAACTGACCCATGATATACATATTGTATTCTTTTGCTTTTATTATTCTTAATTGTATACTACATGTCTTTCGGGAAATAAATACTGTTACACCAAATATTGTTGGTTTCACACACTGAACCAGTTTGTACCAATGAATTGTACCTCGATGCGAGGCGTTTGGCCAGATAACACTCAACCCCTGGGTTACCCCACTAAAGGCAAAAACTCAAACCCTCAGTCTTGGTGAGGTATATTTAATTCCGATTTTAAACAGGATTTCTGTTGTGCTAAGAAATACAAACTTCTCGTGAAAGAAATACCTGAGGTAGTGCAAGTGTTTACTACTCTAGGTAAACACTGAATCTTTTATATGCGCCCAAGTGGGAGCTCTTGGTTGAGCCAACTATCTGAAGCCGGTGAGTTTTAGACTGTGCTTACCTGGGGGTCCTTTCACGAAGCAACCTTTACTAAGGTTAACCTTAACTCCCATTCTTTAACATTGCACTAAGGTTACCTTAGTGACTTACGATCACCTTAGTGCTTTGTGAAAGGAGGCCCAGATCTGTTTCCTGCGTTTCAGCTGAGATTAGAGCATCATGCAACATATGGTAATTCTGGTTCTGTTATTTACATCTGTGCCCTAATTATTATCAGAGACCATTATCTGATATCCATCGTTTGTATGAAAAGGGCTTTGTCGTTTGAATGTTCATTTCAACATGTTTTTCATACATTTATGGATATTTGCCCTCTTGTCATACAGTGCCAGATTATTGATCTATTTGTGTACATTTTCTAAATTTTCGATGATAACGATGACTACGTTATGAAGAATTTAAAAAAACAAAACAAACCGAAACATAATCGATATATTCATATTCAAAATACATTCACGTTAATTTTTTGTGTCCAGATATCGAATTAATGAAATGCACTTGGGCATGAAAAATATCAATATGAGATATCTGATATCCTGCTGAGACCCGGCCACAACTACATCAACAAATAGTACGACGTTTTACGCATCGGGGATTCTTGGTTGAACCTAAATGCACCCATCCTGTTTCAGATCAATATATTGATTATGTCGTAAACAGATCCATCTCGCGAGAGGTCCAAAGCTGATTAGCGACTCGCCATCCTTCTTGGCTATAGGTCACAGTATCTAATTAATCACAAGAAGGTCTCTGGCGACTTAACTGATGACCCCAAGCTGGCGAGTGACCCATACCCTCCAGACAAACGGACACAGTGTCGCAAAACAAGCTCTTTATAGCTCGTTCCTTGGTCATATTATCTTCAACGCTGTTGTTAACAAAGTGAGTGAGTGAGTAGTGAGTGAGTGAGTGAGTGGGTATGCCAATATTAGCCATATTCAACCCACAATGTTGGCATGACGAACAAACGCCTTATCCACTGGACTACCCCACAGCCCCTACAGTGAAAGATGGACAAATTCGAATCTTTGATAGGTAGGTCCAAAACTTGCGCTGCAGAGGTCGTAATTTAAAACTGCATGTTCATATCTAACTTAATCGCATGTCCGATGTTTAATTTTACTTTCCATTTGAGATTATTTAACACCCTTAATTACAACTGGGTTGTCAGCGTGCATGGTGATTCCCCTTAGAATACTCAAGTGGGAATTTTTCATTTTTTTTAATCCGGCCCTGCAATCAGTGTTTAATGTAATATTAAACAGCCTGGGGCTATGCACGCATTCAACTATGACATTCTTTATCAACACGCTATCTCTATTGTCCGCGTTCATATTTACGAGCCAGTTGCGTTTCGGTGCAATCCGGTACGCGGTCGTTTTGAAGGGGAAAATAAACAACGGCAAACCGGATTTCGTATGAATTTCCTATGACGTCATAAGAAGGTCAAAGGTTACACACGTTTCGTCAAGGTCAGAATGTACACGGGTTCACAAACCTTTAAGCAGGGTTGTCATGGCGGGCGAGTGAGATATCTTGATTGGGGTTTTGCCGCCGTACGTAGCGATGCTTGGGTCGGCGCCACAGGACAGGAGAAGACGGACGATTTCCAGGTGGTCGTTCTCAACGGCATCGTGAATTGGTCTGAGGAAAAGAAATGCGAATATTTATTGTCGTTCTTTTTCAGGTTGTGATGCGAGGAATCTCCAGATCGACGTCAATGCGATGCAGAGAATATCAAGATAATATCGTGAAAATGTATTTCGTCATAGAATACTGATTAGGCTTGCAGGAGTCTCTAAGGTAATAAATAATAGTTAAAATGATAATTTCTACAAAATGATAAATAACTGGCTTGGGTCCTTAGACTTGCCTCTTTAAAGGATAGAATTACTATACATCCATGGGCTTAGCATTCAGTACAGCCTTGGAGCAAGGCTACATACTGATCTGCTCTTCAGAGATACTAAATACAGTATACGTTCAAGGTGTTTCCAAAAGGCATCAACGATTTGTGAGTGAGTGAGTATAGTTTTACGCCGCACTCAGCAATATTCCAGCTATATGGCGGCTGTCTGTAAATAATCGAGTCTGGACCAGACAATTCAGTGATCAACATCATCAGCATCGATCGGCGCAATTGGGAACCGATGACATGTGTCAACCAAGTCAGCGAGCCTGACCACCCGATCCCGTTTGTCGCCTCCTGCGACAAGCAGGGGTTACTGAGGATCAATATTCTAACCCGGACCTCCACGGGTATCAACGATTTGCGTAATGCCAGAATGAATCGGCGATAGGAAGCATATTTCTGGTTGTACAGTGTTATATAGTCTGGCACACAGACTCTGAAACAAAGATGCCCAATGCAGCCCATGCAAGTCTACAATGTGTTGCAAATCTAGATTACCGCAGTTTCTGAAAATGAATAAAGGATCTATGCTCCTTTTTATTGTATTTACGATTTTAATTTAAAAACTTTTATTATCTGCAAAATATGTTTATTTCAGAGACTGGCTGTTATAACAGTGTAAGTGTTTCCAACTAATCAGGTAATGGTGGAATGTTTCCTGACGTCAACAACGCCTTGTGCACACACAACACGCCCACCCTTCAAATCCGTCCTCGGGCAAAAACGAATCAACTCACACTGTATTAAAAGTGCATGTTCTCAAGTAGCAGAGAAGAACAGTCAGAAGATTAAATAGCTTGTGTATTTGGTTGGGACTCAGGGTCAAAATAAGTTACACGGCTGCCACGCCCAGGATGGATCCGACGCATACGTGTAGTTTTATTAAATTGATTGAGCGAGTGAGTTTAGTTTTACGCCGCAGTCAGCAATATTCCAGCTATATGGCAGCGGTCTGTAAATGATAATGTCTGGACCAGACAGTCCGGTGATCAACAGCATGAGCATCGATCTACGTAGTTGGGATACGATGACGTGTCAACCAAGTCAGCGTGCCTGACCACACGTTCCGGTTAGTCGCCTCTTTCGAAAAGCATACATAGATCACTAAAGATCAATTCTAACCCGGGTTGTTTGCAAAATATTATAAGCAATAAACATTTTTAAAATATATAACAAAATATCCAGCCTCAACCAGCAAGAGAACGGGCGATCGAAAAAATATATATGACATTTAAAAATTTCTATGACCATTTAAAGTTCACAGCACTTCAAATCAGCCAATAAAAATATCATACATTGACGAAGATCGAGTTGCGTTGCTTCGGAAACGGATGTTAATAAACATAGCTGAAGAAAGGTCAAGCTGACCTGGGTTTAGGAGTATGCAATGGCGGTAGTATTGTTCTATCACACTATGTCCATAATCGCAGGTTTTGTTTTGTTGTTGTTTAACGCCGCACTCAACAATATTCCAGCTATATGGCGACGGTCAGTAAATAATCTAGCCTGGACTACACATCCAGTGATCAACAGCATGAGCATCGGTTCACACAATTGGGATGCGATGACATGTGTCAACCAGGTCAGAGAGCCTGACCACTCGATCCCGTTAGTCGCACGTACGAAAGGCATGGGTTGCTGAAGACCAACTCTAACCCGGATCTTCACGGGATCATAATCGGAGGTAGAATTGAGATATGAAAACGTATTTTCAAATCAGAGCTGACAGGATACCCTGAATATCCCAACCCAGATCGTCACTGGGGAAGATGATGATGATGATGATGATGATGGTGGTGGTGGTGATGAATGACTGGGGATGATGATGATGATGATGATGATGATGATGATGATGATGACTCGTAGGCGGTCATCACAGCTCACCAGTCAACCTTTGCAGGTGTTTGAAACTTCGGACGAATTCAAGCCAAGTTATATTCAATATGAATCATTTGCATAGGCATTCCACCTGTGCTAGAGTTGGATGTGATAAATATGTGAAATGTAAGCCTTATGGATTTCAAATGAACTGCAGATGAAAATGTTCCATTTCAGCTACCATTATCATTATTACCAAAATAAATGAAATACCATATTCTCATTAAAATTGCAACGTGGACCCACATGAGTGAGCGGAAACTGCGCCGACGACCGAGATCAACCCGATTACCATCTGTTGGGGAATAGAGTTTTTTCGGTACAACGCTAATCAGCTTTTCTGTTTGTAGTAGATCCAGAAATAGGATTGATCCTACTGCGATAATTATAATTACTTATATGGAAATAAGGTAGTAATACAAGTAGAATGTCAGAGTAGCTTAGATACTAGTCTACGTCACAGTCCTTGGACCAGAATAGTTTCCCTCCCTGCAATGCTAATTAAAGCCATTAATGAAACAAGTCTAGGTTCCTCAGGTTCTGAATTCCAATATCACTGGGGCTCCTTTTCAATTTAAATGGTTTTATTTGTTACTATTCGAAATTATATATATTCAGAGTCTAAGCATTAGTCTACTTAGAGAGATGCTGTTGGATTCTGTTGTCAACATCATGAGCATCGATGTACGCAATTGGGATACAATGACATGTGTCAACCACGTCAGCAGGTCTGACCACCCGATCCCGTTAGTCGCCTCTTACGACAAGCATAGGTTACTGAAGGCCAATTTTAATCATGATCTTCACGGGTGTTAACAGTAGAGAGAGCAAGGATAGCGTGCCAATATGAAGAACAGTAGGCATCGGATAACAAAATCCACTCCGCTAATCTCATCTCAGACAAATCTTGGGTGAATTCATTTTAGATGATGTCCCATTAGTTTCACACGTGCACGTGGCTCTCAAAGGACAAATCCTACAGCAATGTTGACCATTATGTACACGTTTCTCGACATCAGCACGAAAATTCCATTCTATTGACCACGAAGAGTCCACTTTCCAAAGCCGTTCACGTGTTCCGCTTTGAACAGAGGGTTCGGTGGGGTTTCACTTAAATCGGTCAGTGTCCTCTGTAGACTCATTCCCACTCTTGGTGTTATAACGGTAACGTAGGAGGCCGAAGAGACCCGAAGAGAGTTCCATTATCACGAGATAATCCTGACGCGGAACCTTCCAATTTGACCTTTGGGTATTGCGGTGCAACTTAGGAATCAATTACCCGATTTTCGAAGAAAGTCACAGATACGATCGGGTATTCATATTCAAGTTAGCTATGTCATCAGTTTATTTTCATTTTGTCACCTTTTGTAAACGACGCTGTGACACACAGAACATGTATTTTGTTGGTTAAAACAATGCACAATTCAGCTGCCAGTGGATCTGATCCAGATAATCTCCCAACCTCAATATACGCTGATGGGGTCGAATAAAAACAACAATTCAGAAACAATATCATCTGACGTTCTTGTTGCTCATTGATATCCAATTACTGCTAATTTCTTACTGGTGTTTCAAAAGACCGGTATTAGATCAGAAAATATTCGGTCACAAACAAGGTAATCAGTTTAACCAAATCGAGCGCGCAGAAGAATTGTGAACGCTGCCGAGCGAGCCCGCCATCAATTACACGTGGAAAGGTCAGCTGTCAGAGTAATCACGTGACCAAATCAATTTCACTCCGAATGACAGCTTAGCGCTGATTTATGATAATAACAGACAGGGGCGGCGTGCATGACTTTCACACTCTGGCATGTGTTGTGAGCTTTGTGTCGGCAGACATCTAGGTCAGTAGGCCACAATCGAGCTGACGTCACGCCTCAATACTCTCGTTCACACACAAGTTCGAACGAGGAGGTAATGTAACCTTGGGTTATATTTATGGGACGTAAAAAATACATCACCTTGCTTCTTAATGAATGATTGATAAATGGCATTAACGAACCTGACATTGTTCGCTGTTAGGGAAGTGCTTTGTGTTTTCGTACCAGATGAAATATTTATCACGTCGGTGGTTGTACAGATAGAGAAGGTGGTATTTCTTTGTATCGTTCTATTCTAAGAATAAGCTCTCATATCCTATATTGACAAAAGAGATAATCGATCATGCGATAACGCGGTTGTGTTACAAAAGATACATCTTTAAACAGCTTGCTTTAACAATTTACTATCGATTTGAAGTCAAAGTAATTCCGTCTCAAGTGATACCACGAGCGCGGGTTGGGTGCTGACAAACTTAACAGGATTCGAACCCAACGATTGGGTCTGGGCCACATGTGCTCCCAAAAGTTCATTGTATAGGCAACATGATATCAAATTATTGCGGCGTGGCTCCTTTAAACATTAAATGGTCACTTAAAACAAATATAAGCAATCGTTCACCGCGATGACCATGGAATATCCTAGGAATGTAAGCCTGAGCTGACATGGAAGTTTGCCAAACAATCAAATTATAAAACAGACCATAGTGTAAGCTCGGTGATAGGAGTACGCTCGTGAAACCTGGAACGAGCCACGAAGGCTATAGAATTACCGGCAAGCATTTGCTGGGGTCACATTTTGCTGGTATATCGTCGACATGTTTTGTGTGTGTTTGTGTGCCTCTCAGCTTGCGTGTTGTCATATGGAATATTTGGCGAGAATTTTGTAAGTTATTTCTTAAATGCGGGCTCTGTGCATCTGCGTTTAATTACGCACACAAACCGGTTGGGTCGGTTTAAAAATAAAAGACGTGATAGTTGGTTCATGTTCAGCTCAACAAGACGATAAACACGCCGTGCACGTCCGGTTATAATCAAACGAGGAAACAATTTGAAGAAAATTTGAAAAACGATATAATGCCGTTTTAAGCGGTAATACTTTCAGACAAATGGATACTGAGAGAAAATTTGATTAGATTAAACACATCAACCGACAGAGGAGTCCGAAAAAGACGTCATTAATCACAGCATTTGTTCCATGAATGCATTGAGCACAAGCTCTGGTTAATCGAAGCGACAGCAAGTGGTAAAGATATCACTTTCAATAAAACAAATCCCGATTACAAATATCGATCCAACTTGAAGCCTATTATTTTTAGAAGTTAGGTTTTGTTTCGTTACGTCACATTAAATCAATTTTGTTCTGGGATTCAAAATTATTTATAATTCATTTATATTACACTAGATGGAATCCGGCGTATTTGAGTATTACGCCTGTTCGCAGCGAATAAAACAGTCATCAGCTCATATATACAAAACCGCCTCCGTTTGTGACCATGATAATAGGATTTTAACCTTTGACATCACTGACGTGTACGTTGCCCTTGTCGTAAGTACAACCCGATCGAGACGTGTCAATTGCATGACGCAGGGAGTAGATACTGAATATATTGTATCAACTTACAGAGGGTAGACTTACAGTATGATCCGATGGACAGTCGCGCTGTCACAATAAATGTTTTTTAAAAAACCCATTTGATACTTGAAATTTTGTTTTCGTTTTCTATTTCATCTGGTGCGTGTTTTTGTCTACGTGAATCGATCAATGCCGTACTCGAGACACGTGCGGTATCTCGCTCCAGGGGCAGTGGGAGATGATGAAATGTGGAAAGGTCACAGATGGTCGTGGTACTTTCTTGGCAAATACCATGTTTATCTCATCAGTGATGGAGAAAAATGTAACTTTTTTCTCTCATTCACCAAAGGGGGCGGTGGGGTAGCCTTATGTTTAAAGCGTTCGCTCTTCAGGCCGAAGACCCGGGTTCGATTCCCCACTTGGGTACAATGTGTGAAGAACATTTCTGGTGTTAACTATCTGGAATATTGATAAAAGCGGCGTAAAAATATACTCACTCATTCACCCAATGAAATAAACGTGTTCAGCTATATTGTTTTTCCCAATTTTCCATATTGATCAAATATATCTCACAGACCTCTGATTTGAGAGATTTCGTATATTTCAGCTTCGTTCCATACTATTTAGATTAAGAAGGCGGCATAGCACTCACTAAATCTTACTGACTACCGGTGAAGGTCTGTGTTAGAATTGATCTTCTGTAACCTATGCTTGTTGTAAGAGGCGACTAACGGGATCGTGCGGTCAGGCTCGCTGACTTGGTTGACACATGTCATCGGTGCCCAATTGCGCAGATCGATGCTCATAAAGTTGATCACTGGATTGTCTGGTCCAGAATCGATTACAAACCGCCACCATATGGCAGGAATATTGCTGAGTGCGGCGCTAAACAACAAAACCAAGCAACATACTGTTTCTAAAGTGTCTCTCTACAACCAACCAACCGCGAACAAGCCTAAGACGTGAATGTTCTTCGTTAGAATTTAATAAGGTGCGACTAACGGGATGGGGCGGTCAGGCTCGCTGACTTGGTTGACACATGTCATCGGTTCCCAATTGCGCAGATCGATGCTCATGCTGTTGATCACTCGATTGTCTGGTCCAGACTCGATTATTTACAGACCGCCGCCATAAAGCTGGAATATTGCTGCGTGCGGCGTAAAACTCAGCTCACTCACTCAATCACTCGTTGAATTTAGTACCCTACGTGTACTTCATGTTCGACTACATCCGCGTCAACTTGCAATGAATCAAGCTGCCAGGTCGACGTAGCGAAAACAACTCCATGCACTTTCTGCCAGCTACTGCTTATCTATGCATCAAACGGGAATGGCGGCCGTAAAGCCTTCTCCAAAGAATGAGCACATTCATTATCCACGAATATTTTGCTTTCAGTTTTAAAAAATCCATTTCCAGACGAAATTCTTTCAAGCGTATTTTGAAAACGCTAATTGATTGGTGTGAACAAGATGTGGCATGTTTGGATGTACGGTTGATCGCTTCCACACGTATTTCATGTATGCACCAACAATTCGTTCTTGGATTAGCTCGCAGTGTGAATAGATGAAAGTTCTGAAATATTTACGTTGAAGGATTTTCTTCCTCTTAAAAATGGCCTGGTAGTTGGGAGGCAATGTACTCGATGACCCTGGCTATGCTAAGCCATGTCGACTGACAAGGGTCAGCGAGTGTAGAACGTACCACTCGCTATGGGCGTTCTTGTTGGCAGAACGACTATCATGTGCATTCCACGCCGATACGAAACCGTTTCGACAAAGAGCACGAGGAACAGGCGGATTGCCAATGTTTAGCTAGAGGTAATCATATATCTGAACACGAATCGGTATGTGAGTAGAATACTTAAACAAAAACAAAAGTGTATGTATTGTTTCTCTGTAAAGAATATTCATGAATCATAAGACCGGGGCTTATTCATTGGAAAATCAGTATGCATTGCACAATCTGTCCAGATGGGGAAGATCAAATCTCAGTAGAATTTTGTATGTAATGATAGAAATATTTCTTAACTGTAACATAAATGTGCCAGCCCTTACAGGTGACTCATTGCATGATCTGCCACGTGTCACTGAGAAATACGCATTGTCACTCATCCTTCATCTTCTTGATAAGAACGAGAAATCGCAGTGCGGTACTTTGGGAACTAAATGTTCAGAGACGGTTGGTTGGTTTGTTGTTTAAAACCGCACTAAGCAATATTGCAGCTATATGGCGGCGGATTGTACATAATCGAGTCTGGGCCAGACAATCCAGTGATCAACAGCATGAGCATCGATCTGCGCAATTGGGATACAATGACATGTGTCAATCAAATCAGCGAGTCTGACCACACGATCCCGTTAGTCGCCTCTTACGACAAGCATGGGTTGCTGAAGATCAGTTCTAACCCGGATCTTCATGAGTTAAATGTTAAGGGGAAATAATGACGTTATTAATGTCGTTTTGCCAAAAAAATGTCTGTAAACAAGAATTTGTAGAACCCCATATATAAAAAACTAAAGTTTGTCGGCCTTGTTTACAACATAACAGTTAGGAGTCTGACGTACATATATACATTACGTCAAAGGACAACGGCGAGTATATATGATTCGGGGTGCATGGGAGACGGTAACGATCTTCCCAGAACGTAGTGACGTGTACACATGAAGTGATGACGTTCCTCACCTGATACCATCCTGAGAACAGCAGTTGACGTCGGCACCATGTTCTATAAGATGACGTGCGACGTTGATGTTGCCCTTCACGCAACTCTCGTGCAGTGCGGTGTATCCCGCGTTGTCTCGCGCGTTAACCTGGACTGTGTGAGTACGTATGCAGTACAAGGCCACGTCCTGAAACAAGGGGAGATAACTATAACACAACGGTAGAGACTGACTGACTGAGGTTAGGTTTACGCCGCTTTTAGCAATATTCAAGCAATATCACGGCGGGGGACACCAGAAATGGGCTTCACACATTGTGCCCATGTGGGGAATCGAACCCGGGTCTTCGGCGTGACGAGCCAACGCTTTAACCACTAGGCTACCCCACCGCCCCCCAGTACAGAGACACCTTATAAACAGTATGTTGGTTGGCTTGTAATTTAGCGCTGCACTCAGCAATATTCTAACTAAATGCCTGCGGTCTGTGGATAATCGAGTCTGGACCAGATAACCCAGTGATCAATAGCATGAGCATCGATCTACAACACAATTAGGGTACGATGACATTGTCAACGAAGTCAACGTGCCTGACCACCCGATCCCGTTAGTCGCCTGTTACGATAAGCATTGGTTACTGAACACCAATTCTAACCCTGATCTTCACGGGTGAAAACAGTATGTACTGTTTAAATACAAATACCTCAAACCCGGGGCTTTTAGTGCCTTTAGGTGGATTCAGTGCATGAAATTGACGCCATCCTTTATCATCAACAAATATGCTTATAAAGTGCAGATATTAATGAATAATAACACACACAAAATGTCACAGCTGTCAAATATGCTTTTGCAGGAACAGATGTTCAGCTTATAATAGCTAATTTAAAAACACAAAAATGTATTCATTTGAACGCACACATTCAGCAAATTAAATATTGGATCCGGTAACTAATATTATTATAAAACCATTAGAATATATCGTCTCGACGCTCTCATCAGAAACACCACATCGAATTAAACATGCTACTCCAGACACACATTCGAAGGTAAACACAAGAATCGCATTTTAGAACATGTACGGTACATCGTTCGATAGTAGTTTATCCCTACGGGTTTTTGGTATGGGAATGGTACGTGCATTAACTAGCTATGGCATGAAGTAGGATGACCGATTTATAAGACAGGCCTTCCTCGGGAAACATATTAATTTACGTAATCTAAACTTAGGTAATCCCAGCATGCGTGCGTCAGGACGGTTGCTATGGACAACGTCGGGCGAGGGGTCACGCCTGGCGAGCGAGCTGCCTCAAGCCTTGATTTCCGGTCTTGCTGACTAATGCGTTTTGGGGAGGGAGAGAAAAGGAGAGGGGGTTTCACTAGCGGTGGGGGGTGGGATTAGGGAGTGGGGTGTGAGGGATGAGCAGAGCTTAGACGGATTCTGTGAAAATCAGGAGATCATTACAGCCACGTCTGTTTGTACTCTCCGTGTTTATGAATCCCTCAGCCTCCCCACTGCAGCCTTGATTGTATTATTCGCGTCTCTTGATATTCTCAGATTTCAATTGGGCTTCGAACGGTTTATGCATTCTTGCTAAATTTGAAAGTCTGGTTTACATTGAATGAAATCGAGCTTATTCTAAATTTGTAAACGAAGCTTTCAGGGTGTGACTTTTCTTCCTTCCTGCAAAATGTTGAGTATAACACGCGATATGAATACGCCAGTATCTGTAACGGGCTTTGGGGACGCCGTGAACTATTTTTAAAATCTTAGATTGCGCGAAACTATATACAGGGTTGAGCTTGGCGTAAAACAACCAATAAAAAGGAAATATCTAAAGTGCGTAACCCGAATATCTGTCGCATGTACTTACAAGTGAGGCTTTGATAAATCTGTCTGTCTGTTTGTCTACCTGTCTACCCGTCGAGATCCACTGATCGAGAATGAGAGAGAGAGAGAGAAATGAGAGAGTGAGAGGGAAATGAGAGAGTGAGAGGGAAATGAGAAGAGGGAGTTGAGAGAGAGAGAGAGAGAGAGAAATGAGAGAGTGAGAGGGAAATGAGAAGAGGGAGAGAGGGAGAGAGAGAGAGAAATGAGAGAATGAGAGGGAAATGAGAAGAGAGAGGGAGAGAGAGAGATCAATCGAGCTGTGTGTTTTATATATATATGATGTTGGCTGTGTATCTTTCATTGCTATAAATACATTCGTGACCCATGTCACGCGTACGTGACGGTGGCGCCTCCTCTGAAAGCTGTTACGCCCGTTTTCTCAATCCTTTACAATCCACCTGACTTCTCTCTCAGCCGATGGTATTTATGTCACAACTGGCGCTTGAATAAACACCGCACCCAAAATAAACAAGTCGTCCTACTTTTTAGCGTTCTACAAAGTTCACCGTGACATCATTCAACGGCGTTGTGTCCCGCCCGACGTCACGTACCGCTGTTGGGGGATACACGGGTAAACAAACAGCCGCACAAAAACATCCCCTGTGTGCGGGGGTGGGGGGGCCCACAGTATCCGGGCGCCGGGGGGGAGAAGACCTCTATTTACCTAGTAAAACACGTACCATGCTCTCCATAAACGTTCCCTGCCCTTTACGACGAGCGAGCAGGTTACCAGCGCTCAATGGCAGTACCACAAGCCCTAGCGTAATAACCCGTAGTCTCTGAATATATATACAATTTTGATAGTAACAAATAAACCCATTCAAATTGAAAAGGAGATCCAGTGAGATGGGAGATTCAGAACCTGAGGGAATCTAGACTTGCTTCAGTTATTGGGGCTTGAGTATTGCAGGGAGGGCTAGGCAGTAGGGAAAATGATGTGGTTCAGGGACTGTGAGTGAGTGAGTTTAGTTTTACGCCGCATACAGCAATATTCCAGCTATATGGCGGCGGTCTGTAAATAATCGAGTCTGGACCAGACAATCCAGTGATCAACAGCATGAGCATCGATCTGCGCAATTGGGAACCGATGACATGTGTTGATTACTGGATTGCCTGATCCAGACGCGATTATTTAGAGACGGTCGTCATATAGTGGGGTATTGCTGAGTGCGGCGTAAAACAAAAAAACAAGTGTTCGCCACTAATATGGCAATGTCCCCCGCCGCTAAAGAATGGAATATCTATATTTATTACTTTTTATTTTTGGGTCACATACAAGATGCTTGAAATGAGCAAATGTCTGCATAATCACCAAGTCAATGTAGGCTGTCAAGTCTCATACTTTTCATTATAAACATTGGGTGCAACTGTTTTATGAGATATCGCCTTTAAAAAGTGGTGGTCAAAGTATCGTGGTGACCTTGAAAAGTATCGTGGTGACCTTGAAGATAAGGTCAAGGTCACCCAAATGAAAACTGGTGTCTGCGTCATACCCCAATGTAAACTGTCACCAAATTTGAAGACATTGGGTACAACAGTCCATGGGATATCGCGTTAACAAGAGTTACACGTGTGAAAAGTGTCGTGGTGACCTTGAAGATAAGGTCAAAGTCACCCCAAATCATCTGGTGTCTGCGTAATCCCCCAATGTATGCTGTCACCAAATTTGAAGACATTGGGTACTTGCCTTCAAAAAAAAGTGCCTAATGTGACTTTTTTCAAACTAAACTTTCTTTCATTTAAACAATGTTCTTGTTTTGATCTTAAGGTGTTTTATAGTTGCTGTTAGAATTTAGTATCGTGATACCTATCGTATCGCCACCCTTATATCGGGATTCGTATCGTATCGCAGCTTCAGTGCATGATACTTTGGCAATATATCGTCGTGACTAAACTTTTAGTATCGTGATACGTATCGTATCGCAGGTTGTATGCTAGACTAAGGCTTAGTCTCTGAATATATATAATTTTGATAGTAACAAACAAGCCCATTTATATTGAAAAGGAGCCCTAGGGAGACCAGAGATTCAGCTGGGGAAATCTAGACTTGCTTTATTTAAGGCTTTAGCAGCGCAGAGAGGGCTTGGCAGTAGGGAAATTAATGTGGTTCAGGGACTGTGAGACAGACTAGTTGTATGCCAATACCAGCGCTAATGGAGATATTGTTGTTTATGGTCAACAACATATGGTCAGAAGATCGCATTACACTATTCAGAAATAAGCCCTGTGGGCGATGTTGTCACGTTGGTATCCATTTATCGACTTGTTTAAATGGAAGTGCCACGGGAGTTGCCAAAGATAAAGACGAAGCCTCACGCGTTCCTTAATGTGCCTTCGAGACAGAATGTCCTGCCACTTACGTATCGGCGTGTCTTAAAATGTCCACACTGGACCAATTCATCCGCGTAATAAGAGCTGCCATACATGACCCCCGGTACTGCAAATATATTCAAGGTGTGACTCACGTGTTTCGTAAGAATACAGAGCCTATATACATATCGTGACTGGCACATTTTGCTGAAGCCTCTCGACGGTCATATCTGTCTTAAAATATCCAGACTTAATAGGATGTCAATTTGTATTTTATAAATATTTTCATTCAGTTGCAAGACATGGGCATATCATGAATAGATGCATACAGAGAGAATAAATACATAAATCTATATAATATAGAGAATAAATAAATTTAATATAATATAGAGAGAATAAATAAATAAATAAATAAATAAATAAATAAAAATAACATATTTCATGTTTAAAGATCATCTATTTTCCTTATGATATTGTGTGAGCTGGTATTGACTTGTACCTGGCAGGACCCCTCAATACCAAGCTACCTAAATGAACCACATAAACCAGTGGTAGTCAGCATGAGCAACGACTTATTCTGTCGTCGGCGACAATATTCAGCTAAACCGTTCCACATCACATACGCCAACCACAAGGTGCTGACGACCTATTAAATGAATGCCCTTTGTGGATACAGGGCTAAATAATTGTGATATTTTGCTTCTGGATGAACAAAAGATATTTCGCAGGGTGTCAGTTTGATATAACAATACACGCGTGATGCAGGCATTAAATGTGTACCACTTTTGATAAAATCTTGCATAGTCCTGACTAACAGGGGCGTCGGGTAGCCTAGTGGTTAAAGCGTTCGCTCGTTACGCCGCATACCCGGTTCGATTCTCCACATTTGTACAATGTGTGATGCCCATAACTAGTTTAGTCTGTCATACAGACCCTGAAACATATATATCCAAGAAGCCTGTGCAAGTCTAGAAAATGTGGCAAGTCTAGATTT